CCAAAATTTTTCTTCCTTAATAAGGATTTCCTTGGACATCATTTTAGCAGTTTATTGTTAGCTAAAGACTGAGGATTATATATCCTAATCTGACTCTGGGACTTGTCATTGTAAGCAAGTTATGTATAATATAACATTTTAAAAAAATCTTTACTAAGTGCATGAAATACTTGCCAATTAAATAGATGATCAATTTAAGGTGACCCATAGAGCACATTGCTTCATACACAGTTATAGCCACTGATTGGTGTCAAACTGTCACTATACACTACAATAATCCCCCTGCTTATAGAGGTGTACGTAGCAAGGTTAATTTTATCATTTCAGAGATTAGTTTGATCACAGTAATTTATGCAGAGTCTTATGGTTTTCATTGGAGATTACAGTATGACCTTTTCATTTGCTCTCCTTATGCCTTTGGTAAATAGATGTTAGAGGACTTTTATTTATTTGATCAAGATTTCAAGATTCAGAGTTTTCCAGGATTCTAATTATCTCTCAAATAGCCCTGATTAAGTAACATGATGAAAATCTGTGATGTAGGTTACAGAGGTGATACCATGCTTTAAGCTCTTTGAAAAGCTTGTTAAGAGTTTAGTTGTCAAAGTGAATAACTGCGATAATTATTTAGACTATTTTTTCGCTTTCCAGGGCATTTTTTTTAGTATATCTCTGAGCGTCCTCCCAACTGAGGGAGGGAGGGAGGTATAGGGCAAGTGAAATTGTTACCATTTTACAGATGATAGAAATGGAGAACAAATAAGGCATAATGCAAGCTGCTCTAGAATTGACCAAATTGGTCATGATTGCACTGAAAAAGAAAAGAGAGGAAAGCGAAATTATCCTCCGACTAAAGCCATGTAAGTTTACCTTGATCCTCTAGACCAGAGTCCTCTTGCACTCAGTTGAAATACGCCCTTCATATTTTCTTCTTTGAAAACTGTATTTTTCCTTCCCTACCTGTGGTCTCAATGGATCCAGCTCACGTGTGTTTAAGAAAGGTTTGTGGAGCTAGTTCATGGTTTGTTATTTCAAATTAGAAGAAGATGGGGAAACATCATACATAATCTACACATTTTTCTAGGGAGAAGCCATTTTTTTTTCTGGTGGAAAAAAATAAAAACAATATAATTTTGCTTTCTTGCTGAAAAAGTGTGGTAACTCCTCAGTGATTCAGCCTAGGGTAACTATAGAAGATGTAGCTATCACTTGGGCAGGAATTTGCCATCATCCTGGGTCACCTCGGTATCCATGAGGACAAACCAACCACCAAGCCAGGCTCTCAGATCCTTGACCACCTGGACTACAGGCCCCTTGTTTCCACTTTGCTTTAGCCACCCATGTGCGTGATCACGACGGATCATACTATCACATCCAGTTGCAGTGCCCGTGCAATCTTAAATTCAGACATCTTACTTTCTGAGACCAGACTGGCAACCCTCCAATATTCTCACACTACTTGCACTGCTCTTGTTTTTAGTTCTCAAGACAGGACAATTGTTTGGCCCTTTTACTTCGTTCTTGTCAATCCCTTTCCGTCTTCACTTCCTTTGCCACCCGCTTAATCCCCGTGGTGCACGGCATTGCTACCCACACCCTCATACTCGTTAGACAAAACCCAACCAGGATCATCCACCTTTACCCTCTCCCCAGCCCACTGTGTTCCGGTGGAGAGAGTCAGACCATCACAGAGTTTGCTGTTCTGTGAGTTCACAAGGCTACTGCTGTTTCGCACACAGCTGGAAATCTCACCTCCTGCTAGAGAGGATAAACCCTCTGAGAAGAACTCAACTTTCAGGCCCCATCTAAAATTTCCCTTTAGGTCAAGTGCGGTGGCTCACGCTTGTAATCCTAGTACTCTGGAAGGCTGAGGCGGGAGGATCACTTGAGCTCAGGAGTTTGAGACCAGCCTGGGCAAGAGTGAGACCCTGTCTCTACTAAAAATAGAGAAAAAATTAGCTGGGCGTGGTGGCAGGCACCTGTAGTCCTAGCTGCTTGGGAGACTGCGGCAGAAGGATCGCTTGAGCCCAGGAGTTTGAGGTTGCAGTGAGCTATGATGACACCACTGCACCCTAGCCCAGGAGACAGAGTGGGACTCTGTCTCAGAAAAAAACAAACAAACAAAAAAAGACTATGATTCAGCAAAGAAGTCCCTCAAGGCTTTGACAGGCAAGTGAAGATCTGAAATAATGTCTTTGTTGTTTCACTTTAGCTTTAGTCCTTAACGTGAAAATACCAACCAACATTCATGTCAGAACTATACTCATTTGTGAAAGCAACCATAGGTTGAACTATGAATCTAAGAGTTGGGCAAAAATCAAAGAAAGCATTCTGTGATAATCAATTGACTATATGGAATTTACAATAAAGAAAATTGTGTATTTTGTTATTTGTAAATCATATGTTATATCAGTAGAAATTTATATCAGTAAAATTTACAATAAACTACGTGTGTTTGTGTTGTACGTATGTCTGTGTGCACACGCATACTTTTCTCTTTGGAAATGAGTTCTAAATAAGGACTGGGAGGAGGTGATTTTGCTCCCGAAGAAGCCAGGGTTCCTGCTAAATGTCCTACAATGCAGAGAACAGTCCCCACAACAAGAATTATCCAGCCTAAAATGTCAGTGGTGCCAAAGTTGAGAAACTCTGCTCTCAAGTATATATAAGCAAAAAAAAATTTAAGTATTTCTAAAAATTCACATTAAGAATCTAACTTTTCTGAATCATTTTTATTCATGCTTTTTTTGGATATTGAAGGCTTTTTTAAATTAAAGAATAACTTACAGGCCGGGCGCGGTGGCTCACGCCTGTAATCCTAGCTCTCTGGGAGGCTGAGGCAGGCGGATTGTTTGAGCTCAGGAGTTCGAAACCAGCCTGAGCAAGAGCGAGACCCCGTCTCTACTAAAATTAGAAAGAAATTAATTGGACAACTAAAAATATATAGAAAAAATTAGCCGGGCATGGTGGCACATGCCTGTAGTCCCAGCTACTCGGGAGGCTGAGGCAGGAGGATCGCTTGAGCCCAGGAGTTTGAGGTTGCTGTGAGCTAGGCTGACGCCACGGCACTCTAGCTCGGGCAACACAGTGAGACTCTGTCTCAAAGAAAAAAAAAAAAAAAGAATAACTTACAATGATCTTACATGTATAGTTGGATCAGTGTGACAGCCATGGATCCCACACCCCATCAATATATGGAATATTTTCATCACCCCCTAAAGTTCTCTCTTGCCCCTTCCCAGTCGGCCCCTTGATCTGATTCCAAAAACAACCACTGATCCTGATTTCCATCACCACAGATCTGTCTGTTCTAGTACTTTACATAAATGAAATTATGTAGTGTATGTATGTTCTTCTGTGTGGCTTCTTTTACTTAGGAAAATGTTTTAAAAATTAATCTATGTTGTTAGGTGTATCACTTTGATCTTTTTATAATAAAATACCATGGTTTGTTTATCCATTTTTTTAAAATCCTTTGTAGAGACAGCGTCTTGCTATGTTGCCCAGGCTGGTCTCGAACTCCTGGCCTCAAGCAATCCTTTCACCTTGGCCTCCCAAAGTCTGGGGATTAAAGGCGTGAGCCACTGAGCCTGGCCAGTTTATCCATTTCCAACAGAAATTTGTGCTATTTCCAGTTTGGGCTGATATGAATAAAGCTGCTATAAATAGTTTTTTTACAAGACTTTTTGTTGATATATGTTTTCATCTCTCTTGGACAAATATCTGGGAGTGGAATTGCAAGCTTATATAGAAGATATATATTTTAACTTTTAAGAAATTGACAGCTTTCCAAAATTGGAACCTAACCTTTTAATCACTGCACTACACTCTCCATATTTCATCGATCTTTTTGTGAGGAATAGATTAGATAATGCATGTGACGGGCTTAGCATGGTGCTTGGCACAAGTAAGGGCTTCACTTACCAGCTATTGTCATATTTATTGAAGAGAGACTTTCAAATCTTCATTCTCGGCCTGTACGTCCAACCACCTGCTTCTGTAATGTCCGACCTTAGTGTCCCACAGGCAGCTCCATCCCAGCTTGTACCAAACCAAACTCTTCTCCCCACCGTCCATCCCCAAACCTGCTCCTTGTCTCACATACCTTATTGTGTGAATCTTCTCAGTTGCCCAAGCCTCCCCGCGATTCTCCTGTCTCCTGGGCCTGGTTTTTCTGTTGCCTTAATAGCTCTTGCTTGTGTCCATTTCTCCCATTCCCCACTGTTGCTGCCTCCGTTCTGACTTCTGTACCTGTCTCCGGGATTGCTACAACAGCCTTCCAACTGAGGCCCATACCTTCAGGATTGCGGCACCCAATTCACTGCCTACACTGCAACGAGGGGGATCTGTCCATAATACAGTCCTGATCGTGTCATGGTCCAGTTGGAACCCTTAGTGGCTTCCCAGGATAAAGTCTCAACCCCTTATATTCCTTTGAAGGTCCTCATGCTCCAGCTTCATCTGCTACCTCCTTTCATGGACTTGGTTCCCACCCTCTAGTTTCTTCCCATCCCTGGTCTTTTGCTTAGAGGCCTTTGCCTGTGCTGCTTGTTCTATATGTAACATCCTTCCCTCCTCTGCCTCACCTGACCCCATCCCTTCCACCTAGCATATTCCCCTCAGGACTCAGCCAAGATGATCCTAAGTTCTAGGAAGCCTCCTCTGGCTTCAGGCCCCTTCCCCCTCAAGTTGGGCCGTGTGCCCTGGCACTCAGTACTTAGCCGTAAGTACTCACAGCACTATACCGCCTTAACACCCACCTGGCCCCCGCCCTAGGCTGCGAGTTCTCAGAGGACATGGGGCTGTGTTTTACCTGCATCCCTAGCACTTAGACTCCGGGTCTACTTAGTATCGCAGGTACTCAGTCTCTGTCTGGGAAATTAAATTATCGTATCGGTGGGACTTGCTGCTGGACTGGCTGGGGCTGAGTGACCAGAGAGTGAAGCAAACAGCGTTTGGAATTCCGAGGTTCTCACCCATGTGTCTTGTCATCCTCACAGCCCGATGAAAATTCGCTGGACTTTTCCTCCTGTATGCTGCGGCCCGGGATTAAAAATGCTCAGGAACTTGCTTGTGGGGTGTGCCTCTTAAATGTGGACTCCAGGAGCCGAGTAAGTCACATGGTTTCCCCTTGCAGATGGCAAAGGGCTTCTCTAACGTGACTCCGGGGGACAGGCTCATCTAACCCACTTGCCTGCAAATTTGTGATTTTTCTAAAGTCCCGAAAGCCGACTGTAGGAGCAGATACTTTCTTTGAAGAGGGCAGGGGGGAGCTGAGAGGGGATGGGTGCAGTTCTTCCCTAGTAAGCATGCGGTTCCATTGCACCTGCAGCACCCTGTGCACGGTGGGGTGGTAAACAGCAAAGCTGAAACCTGTGAGGACTTATGTGGAGGCAAGAGGCCCTGTTCTGGGAATTTTGTTGACCTTATGGTTTCAACATTATTTCAGAAAGAAGAGAAGCCTGCAGAAGAACATCCTAAAAAAGTATGAACCAGTTACACATTATCTTAGCGTCTCCATTTTAATTTTGAGTGTGGAAGGCAAATCGGATGATTCCGTTGCCATCCTGAACCGTTCCAGTCATGAATCCTTCACTGAGTCGTCCTCGTTCCCATAATGTTTGATTTGATCAACTAACGTGTTCATGTGGGTCCACTTCTGTCCTGTTTGCATGCTTGTGTCTCATAATCGGCTTCTGCTGTTGCGGTTCTTTTTCTCTGCAATGAACAGGGTAACAGAATGAGCAACTTCTGGAAGACTGGAAGTTGTAGTAACACACAGAATGAGATCAAAGAGCTTCAGGATTTAGATGTTAACAGATAAAAAACAAATTGGTTGGGTGGAGTTTTGTTTATTTGCAGTGCTTTCGGAAACTAACCCTAGGAAGTGGTTGAGATTTGGACTACTTTAGTTGACCATAGCTACTGCTCATCTGGAAATCATTCTTATATGTTTAATATCCATTTAGTTAGAGGTTTTTTTTGTTTTTTTTTTGTTTTTTTTGAGACAGAGTCTCACTCTTTTGCCCGTTAATTATGTAGATTTAGTTATCAGCTCCCAGTG